GGAGAAGAGAGAGAGAGAGAGAGTGTGTGTGTGTGTGTGTGTGTGTGTGTGTCGCTGCCCAGGCCTAACCAGGAATGGGATTCCTATGGTTCGGAAACAAGAGTGCTGGCTAGGATATCTCTGGTTGTTGCGGGTTGCCGGGTTTCATGGCACGGATCAGATCGGCAGAGGGCGAGAGACCATTGGCGCATGCCATCTGTTTCTGGCTCCGCCTCGAGTACGGAAAGCCTGGGCCAACTGGCCCCATCATGTTCGCATCCAGGCGAATTGTAGTCGGTAAACTCCCGAGAAGAGTGGGAGACAGACGTGTGCCGTCACGGTTCGCGTGGGAGACCAGGCTCGGCCTGCGTGTCTCCGATTCGAGGCATAAGCGGGATGGATACCTTGCCCTGCGCGTTACGTTGCGTTGCGTTGCGTTGCCTTCCCTCTCGCCTTAAGGTACTTGTGCCTTGCCTCAGTCCCACCCGCGGGAACGGCGCCGCAGTTTCCCAAAACGGATATTTGACAGCACTATCCGTACTGCGTAAAAAGAAGTGCGTTTTGTCAACCCTTGGCCGTCCGTCGAAGCCGGTCTGCGCTGAGCTTCCCAGCACCTTGCACACGCTCTGCTCTGGTTGTCGAGGATGCGCAGAAACGAAATCAGACGCAGATGCAGATAAGCCAGCACTGGCGCTGGCGCGGGCGCGGGCAAGGACGAGGATGAGGACGAGGGCGAGGGCGCAGGCGCAGGCGCCTCTGCTCCAGAAAGCATCAAACTCTGGCCTCGGCTCGAGCAATGCAGCGGGAAACCTGCGTGCAAGAATGCAATTACGCAGTAGCCGGATGTCGGTCTTGAGGCGAAAAGCCAGGGCTGCGGAGCTCTTAGACCCGACTGGATGTACGTAAGCGACGAGAGGCACCTAGACAGACCGGCACAGTATCGCTGGCGAGCAGCCACGAATCAATGGTCTAGGATGCTTATTGGAAGTTTGTCGCCATGGCTGCACACGCACACACACAGAGAAGAGAGTACTCTTACGCATCGAGAGGTCGGCAAGCGAAAGTCAGGCAGGCGACAGACAGTATGTGCCAGGGGGGGCTGGGAACTTGTCACTGTCATTCGTGACAGGCGTTCTGCGCGTAATGGAAGACGCAATTCGGTAGGAACAAAGCTTTGTGAGTGGTTCAGCAAAGGGGGCCGAAGGCGTATTAGCGCCAAGGAATGGACTCGATTCCGTGGCGACGGTGGCTGCGCTAAGGCTGCAAGGTTCGGTGATGGTGTAAACGGTGAACGATCAACCTGCGGATTGACGACGATCCTTCATTTGTGGTGCAGATAGTGTGAGAATTTGGGACAAGCCTGGAGAACGGGACCAGACGCTAAAGTGGTTAGCGCCTACATCAGGAGGGAAAGGAAGGGGAGGGGAGAGACGTACCTGTGTCTTTGGTGGGTTTGGTGGGTTATCGTCACCGTCGTGCCGAAGGGTGAAAGATGAGATGAGGTCGATATAGATTGGGCTGGGAGATGCGGGAGTGCGGGAGTGTGGGAGGTTGCCGATGGAACCTACGGATACAGTATTCGTATCCACCTACCTAGGTACACTCCAGATTGGAAGGGGAAAGAGGGCAGGGGGGAGGGAAAGGAAGGGAAGGGAAACGACCGCCTTGGATACGTACCTAACCTACTACCGGTACCTACATATTAGTAGTAGGAAGGTACCGAAACTGACTGCGGTTGCCTTCCTGCGACTTACTCAGCCTCGAGCTGACATACTGTATTAAATAAACATGGGCCGAGAGTGGGTCCAACAGAGAGAGATCCGTGCACCTCTCACCCTTCACCCCTTCACCTATCCAAGGTAGGTACCCACCTAGGTAACCTCCTTCCGTCAATTCGTATCGTAATCCTCATATCTACTTGATGATCTACGAGTATGAGCAGAGGACGGGAAAGAACAACTCGCCCGTCTCTTGCTAGGACTTTGCCGGCAAGTCTTTGACATATGTCTGGGTTCATGCTTTTCCCCAACATTGAATCCTCCTCGTTTCCTTCCCCCATGCTTCGTCTAGCTCCGATTCGGATGTTGGCTCACTTGCCCCCAAAGGCCAAACAAGACACAAACACGCACCCATACCAAAGAAGGAAGGGGTGGGGGGGAAAAGAAAAGAAGAAAAACAAAAATAGAGAGTGAGAAAGACCTCTGTGTTGCCAACTGGCACAGTCATGCAAGCATAAGGAAGCGCTGCACCAGACGGATACCAACAAAGCAGTACACTTGGGGTTAAAGCACATTTCGACGGGCCGTGTACGCTTACATGTCCTTGGGCCGAGCAACCTGCTGCCTTACTCGGCTTGTTTCTATTCTGTCCCACTGATAATCTGCTTTTCTGCGGCCGGATCCATCCCAGGCAGCCAAAGCTTCCGTCATTTGTCATGGGGCCTGGCTTCCTAACTCTTGCTAACTCCCCGATTTAGAATGCCGCCTCAACGACCACGTCTTCGAGAATCATCTCCACAATTCCCACAGACCGGCCCTAGCTGTTCTTCTCACTTGATCAACAAGAGTCATGTCTTGCACTCCAAGCTAGATTGGATGTGTATCGACGACGGCGACGACGACGACGACGACGACGGACAAATGGCTGGTCTAGCAAGACTCACACATTCAAGAACTCGATCCGCCGAAGGGGGGCTTCAAAACGGGGGCATGACAACGGAGGCATAAAAAGCAATATGCATATTGTTTCTTCACAACAAGGGACCCTGTCATTGGTCGGTCAACACTCACTCTCGGGTCATTGACGATTAGACTAAAAGTCGGCATGCCAGCACCGCAACGCAGAAGAAACGACCTGGGTACAAAACAACCAAAGGGATTTGAGATGGAGAGAAAGAAAGCGGCATTGCTTATCCGCAGCCACTGACCACTGAAATAAGCTCCTTGCCATAGGGTTCGCTATATCCGGCCCTTGCTGGTGCGCCCCTAATCATCTCTCTCTCCCGACTGCCATGCGGCTAAGACGTACATGGCGTACGTGCATGCATACCAACCGCGCGCCATGTTGATCAGGATTCTTGTGGTGGGTAAATCAACCGGCTGGTCTTGGGCTGCAACTAGATTGGGCCAGAGATACACAAATCTGGTTTACTTTTTCCTGATGGAGAGATTGGCGAGACTTAATCAATCTTCCAAAGCTGGGGCCCCCTACTAGGTACGGCATCAACTCGAGGTCGCCATCACAACCACCATGTCTGTCATGCACCCATCCATCCTGACGCCCGAGTGTACCAAGACGCAGTATCCACTGATCCGCTCAAGGGTGACGGGGTCGGCGGGGCCTGTTGGGTTTCCATGCCTGTGCAGTACAACCTGTACGGAATACTGCACAGGGATCTTCATGTCAGTCTCGGCACCTCGCAACGAGATACGTGTCTCCCACCTGGTACAGCATATCAATCGGAACCGCAAACGGGAGGACAAGGTACTCATAGTTTGTAGGTATCGTATATTCTCCGACCGTCTTGTCCCACCAGGGCCGTTCAACTCATGGATGGACACACTCGTCGTGCCAACGTACAGCAAAAAACAGCCGCCTCACCACCCTCCTCATCATGCTCGCCGACCGTCGCGCTTGTGCCAAGTTGCGAGAGCATGCCGTCGCTCAGACAGCGGTCTGATAGGATGAAAGGGCCGAAAAAAACACTCGAGATTGGCGGTTGAAACGGTGCCTCGGCACGTTGCTCATTCGCCAACATGTTCCCCGGCAACAGGCTTCTCGTTTAAACACATCCTTGGCTCGCTTGACATGAACACAAGGAGCCAGCCAACCGAGCGGCTCACCGGCAGGCAGACAGGCCTCTCCTTGCCGGAGTGCTCTCCGCTGCAGACATGTACCTACATACACACCGTCAACTCTCGTCTCTTAGCGGCCTTCCTTAAAACACACTAGGTAGGCGACCCGATTAGGTAGAGAGCCGCTAACAGCTACTCAAGCGTTGTCTCCTATTTTCGGCTCCGTGCCTTGTGCGATGCGTGTTACACGCTGCAGTTCAATGATGATGCCGTCCCCCGATACCACACGAGAAGACACGAGAAAAGAAAAGGTTGTCGGTTTCAGCGTTGCCTAGGAATTACTGCAGGATGCGCAGGATGCACTCCCCAAACGCAAGCACGCTCGGAAAACATGTCGCATCTCGCATCTCGCAACTCCCGATAGCCCTCCACGTGCAATCGTCATTTCATCTCAATCGCAACCCCGAAACGAAGAATCGAGAGCCTTGAAGGGGGGGGGGGGGTTTCATTGACTGTGAAGATCCAATGATAGCCTCGCCCGTACTCCCCTAATATTATGTGCCGTAAAACTTATTATGCGTATCTTCTTCTTTTTATGGCTGCAGCTAAACCTCGCCTTGGCGCCGAATCAAAAGCCGGCGGTGAAATGGGATGCACCCCCCCCCCCCCCCCCCCTACCAACGATACCAGCTTACCCATCCGCTATAGAACAATTGTATGTCGTTGCTTTCTTCCCTATTCCACCTTTGATGATTGAACTTTTTTGGTTGTTTTTCCTTCTTCTCAATTTAAGGAAGTTTTCGAGACTATCGTTTACAAGAAGCAGTTGTCACGGTCAGGTTGCCTCGCAAACTGGGCTGGCTGGCTTATCCGTGTTGTTGACCATCAGCTCAAGTGCCGTGTCCATTCACCGCCACAACGAGCTGAGGTTGAGATGATCCATGCAGCCGGTTGACACGGCGTCACTTCATGACTTAATTCTCCGACCGTCGGCTAGAACCTTTGCGCCACTCCAATATGCCGAGTGCTTGATGACTGCCGATTCTGATTCCCACCGCCGTGAACGGCTCTTCGGTAACTATTGCAGGACGCTCGCAACCAAACAAATGAGATGAAACCAGAAGAAAGAAAGAGAAAAAAACCGTTGAGGCTGCCTCATCCTCCTCGGGCGCAGAGCCTCAGCATTGAGTTTTGTGCAGCCATATGCACCACAGCTAGGCACCCTCGCCGTCGTATCAGATTGCGATCGACCCGAACTAACAAGACGGCGTGTTCGAGCTTTTACTCCTACTAACCGCATACCCAATGGCGGTAGTGCATCATTACCCGCTCGGCAACCTTCCCCGATTTATGTTCCTTGACTCTCTGGCTAGCTGGGTGAATCCCGCAGTCTCAGGCCATTTCTGACTTGAGTCTCGCGCTCGGACGTTGGCATTTTTCCCCTTTCCAGTTGAACGGCTTTTCTTTCTTGGGCAGACAAAAAAAAAAAAGATGGTTCGACACCAGCACCAATTCTGGCAGGAGGAAGACAGCTTTGACAGACGCCATCGCCGTCTTGATTTCGAGGTTACGAGTCAGTTACAGATCGCACTGGGAAATTCGAAGAGACGTCGCAAAACTTTGGACACCGTTCCACGCAATGCCCCCCTCCCTCCTGCTCTAACTTCCAAGCTAAGAAAATACATAGGCAGCACTACGGGGGAGGGGGGGCGGCATTGATCGGATGCAAAGACTTAAGTCGAAACGAAACAATATACATGTCTATCCCAACCTCAGGGATGATTCCAGGCATGCATCACACGTCTGCGTATCGAAAAGGTACGCTGCAACAGTCATCCGGTGATGCTTCACAGGACTTTCCCGTTCGAGTGCCCGTGTGTTCCATAGTTCGGCAAGGTCTCGCTCCCATCATCGTCTCGTCGCTGGTAGCGAGTCCAATAGTCTACTACCTACTAGTTGCCGTCCGTCCAAGCAAAAAGCGGCAGAACAGGTCCAGACCGCGAAGGGGACCCTGAGAAAGGAGGGGGGGGGGGGGGGGGGTTGCATCAGCTTCCGGCCCACGTAGATCACCGGGAACGTGCCGAGAGTGCCGGTCCACACAGTATTATCTAGCATGGGCGACGTCGATCTCTTGAGAGAAGACTTCCCCGTCACGTCACCCATCAGCGTCAGCCGCCCAGGGTTGGACCCTTGCAAGCGACTTGACAAACGCGAGAGGGGGGGGGGACCGTTTCCCGCTTTTGACTTTA